GCAACATATTAGTCTTCAAAGATTTGGCAGAAGTTCTTCTAAATGTGAGAATTTCAGCCCTTCAATGTAGAAATTGTCGACTTTATGATTGTCTGAGGACCTTGTATTTATAGACTTCTCAAAGCTTTCATTTAGATGGATTTGGCTTTGATTTCAATCTTGATTCGCCCATGGGAGAATTTAGGAATGTTTTGTGTCTTAATTTAAGCCATTTTCCCTTACCTTGGCCAAAATCTGTAATGCTTGTTGCCTATTTTGTGAGCAATCTTCAATTCTTGCTTGTTTTGTGAAGATGTTTTAGCTTTCTTTCCGGTTTTGAGAGATTTTAGACCCCTTGCCGATTTTAAGAGGGATTTTCTCCCTTTTTACTGAATTTTGGGGAAGTTTTGAGCTTTCTTTGCTTGATTTGTGCCACATGTCATTGATGACTTATCCATTTGTGATGAGTCATATGCCACATGAAGCTTTATGATGCATCATTTGCATGCAGCAAAATTTACATGTCTACAACCACTTTATGTAGGTATAAGACATGATTGACTATCAAGAAGCTAAGAAACCATTGTAACCAACAATGGCATTGAAGAGCTGAATAAGCCTCCGCCATGATTTTCATTCGAAGACTTATGCTCGAAGCATTACCCATGGAAATACCTCCCGAACAAAGATTCAATGGCTCTTCGGCTCGCTCCTATGGACCGTCTAATCATGAAAGACATTGCCTGAAGCACGCCATGATTACGTCCATGAATGAGTACAATTCTAAAGTTTATAAATCTGATGGAATTTCGACTTGAGAATACTTTTTCTCATCCTTCCATTTTTCTAACTCGCTCTTGAGGCAGTAGTGTAGAGAACGGAAGTTTACCAAATTATCGGATCTGATTACTACCATAACTGTGAGAAAACGGTATAGACTCAGCTTCGACTGGAGTCTACAAATACTGAATACACTGACGGGCATGCTCTTCTTCGGCAGAGGTGAACCGAACAGTATTTCTTTGCTTCGACAGAGGCCTACCGAATAAACCCTTCTAGCTTCGATCGAAGCCTAACAAATCCAATTTCGAGTTTGTTTTTGCAACATATGGTAGAATTAGGGCCTGTCAATGTGTGGCATCATTCCTGAAGCATGATCCTTGGCACCTTAGACCTAAAACTTCAAGAATAAGTGATAATATTCCCGAACCTCAAAATCTACTTCTGTCTCGATGGAATAGGTCATTGGTTATGCACTTGTTCATACCTCTACCAATGTCGTTGAGGAGTACCATTCTCATAATCAATATGTGAAACTAATTTTGCTCCACCGAACACCGTTGGAAGAACAAAATTTTGACATGGATGGCCTTATTGGCCGAATCCCCTTAGTAAACCATTTACTTTGTGAACATTTTTCTATGTTCTTAAATTCACATTTATGTTTGTTTTAGTTATGGATTATGTTATCAATATTGTCCTTGATAATGAGTTAATTGAATCATGTTTCTAATACATGTGATTGAATTCAATTAAACACATTATTAGGTATGAATGTGGGAAAGTTAGTTGTCTAGATGAATGCAGTACTACACACACTAACTTTATACCTAAATCACATCTCTAGCAACGACTTCAGGTCTATCCAACCTGATTAAGAGCATTGGCATGCTCCTCGTTATATGAATGGTACTAAGCATTGTCCCTATTTCGGAAGAACGTCGTTGAGTCGTAAGGATATTCGAGATGACAATGATCATGAATGAAACCACTGAAGAAAATAAAGTGGAATATCTTTGCACCAACTCCAAAAATGAGCCTGAAGCTTTGATTTGAGGCCAATGAGATGTCTCCCAGCTGAGAACACCTTACATGTGGCCAACCTAGAACCTAGTGATTAAGCAGTTTACTTACTTTGGCATGACCATTTGGGAAATTTAGGTCGAACAATGATGCCACAATGTATCTCCTTACCCGAAGTAATGATGTTGTGCTTACAAGCACACTGTGCCAAGCTTGCTCATTAGGGAAATTGATTTTCTAAATCCGCCCTAGTAAAGATACGTAATGACTCTCTTTTCATAGTAGATTCAAGGGAATATATGTAGACTAATCCAACCAAAATACAAACCATATAAATACTTATGTTTTTGGTTGATGAATCGACAAACTGGTCACATGTTTGTCCACAACATTGCTGCTAAATCTCCTAGCTGATTTTAAAGGTTCACCACCCTACTTATCCCATAAAGTTTGGAAGACTGGACAATGCCAGAGAGTTTATATCGAAGGGTCTTCGATAAGCTTGCATTCTTTTAAGTTTATAATTGGACATCAAATTCCCATGTTCACCTTAAAAATAGCCTCGCAGAGTAATCATAAAGCGCAATTTAATCGATCGCCTGAACCTTGGTGAAAGTACCAAGCTTTCGGTTTCTGCCTAAGGCGATATGATGCACGCCTTTTGGTGCAAGGTTTCTCTCGAATGCCCTGTGATTAACTACAGCATTATGAAATGTGGTTAGTATTTCTCCATGGGGATGTTAATATGGAGATCTACATCTAAGTTCTCAAGGGATTACATGGACTGGTTCAAATAGTTCAGACCACAGAACACCCTCTCAACTTATTTGAGGCGCTCACTTACGGATTAAAGCAATTTGATGGGTGTGGTATACCCGTCTAATTGATTATTTGATCAATTAGGGATATGAATTATGCCCTTATGTGTTAAACTATGAAGTTTTATTCCAAATTCCTAGAGTGGCAATTTATGTCGATGACATGCATCTCACTAAGACTCTAAAAGAGCTTGAGAAAACTGCCTCACACCTGAAGATTGAATTTGAGATGAAGGATCTTGAGAAAACTCATTTATGCCTTAACTTGAAGTTAAAGCATTGTTCTGACGATACTTTGGTCTACCAGTCAAATACACCCCGAATGAGTTACCTTTTGAGTATACCTATGATCTTCCAACTTTATATGCAAGTGAGACCCTTGAAAAGGTTATGGAATCCAAAGTTTCATATATGAGTTCAACTTTGCGCTTTGTTGTACTTAGTTCATTGCGTTAGATAGGACATCTCATTCGTTGTTAATCCATTGGTAAAGATGTAGCACCGCGCCTACACACAACCATTGAATTGGTATTTAAGACGTTTTCCACTACCTTGAAAGGTACTATGGATTTGGGCTAATCCCAACGCATCTCGAGCAGATCCATCCCCCTTGATCCTCGAAATGATGCTAGCTTTGTTATTATACTGACGCTAGTTACTTATCAAACCCGCACAAGGCAAATCCCCCGAATGGTATGTCTTTACCGTTATGGATATTGCAATATATTGGAGGTCCACGATATGACCTTAGTTGCGAAATCTTCGAATCATTCCAAGACTCACCTTACTTCACTATGCCACATGTGAGATATGATTGAGAGCTCTTGTTGAGCATATTCGAAGTACTTGTTGTTTTCATCCATCGTTAAGTCCCAACGACGATTCATGAAGACTATGTCGCATGTATCAACCCGACCAAGACATGATACATCAATAAAGTCAACACCAAGACATATTGCGTGTACATCACTTCAGCAAAGCATAAGGAGATTGAAGCCATGCAAGCCAATCCTAGACAACCTTGTCGACCTCTACATGACTTCACTGCCAAAGTCAACCTTCCAAAAGCTTGTCCGAGGAATTGGTATGCCTAACTATTCAAATGCAATGCTTGTAGTTCTTATTTGGAAGTTCTGTCAAACTCAAGGGGAGCATCCAGAAGTATACTCACTTGATCTTAATGTACTATTTTTCCTTACGATTAGCAGTATTTTTCCCATGGGTTTTTGCTAACTAACTAGGTTTTGACAAGGCACCCATCCTGAGCTGGTCATATCCTTGTGAGCTCTTCTACTTACATCCAAAAGACGTATAGTTTTGACTTAATGTAATTTCTTACTTTTCTCCCTAGTCTATGGGTTTTTCTCCCACCTTGGGTTTTACTATAACGAGGTTTTGTGTGTTTTACCTTTTATGCATTATTCCATTGATATGAGACTCGCATTCGCTCATTGTGCCGACGACTTCATCAACTGTACTTACTTCATCGTTGAAGACCTGATGCACCATTTGTTTGAGTATTTACACACTCTAAGGGGAGTTGCAGTCCTATTAGATTAAGAATGTGATTGTGTAAATCCTAGTGTATCTAGGGATATCTTGAAATATTCTCTAGGGTTATATATTATATTATTAGAGTTGTAATCCTATTAGGATACGGGTTTAATCTTCCCTATTACTATAAATAAAGGCACAATGGTGTGAGATAACACACCTCACAATTACACATTTCTCTCTTCTCTCTCTATGTGCCTCACCCTCTCTCTGACCTCCATAATTGTTTAGTAAATTATGCCTACAACATTAAGCTCTAATATCTCCGTTTTATTGTTGCTTTACGATTTTGGGACAATGTATTTGTACTCTCTCGATGAAAGACAGAAAGGAGACCTTCAACATGGAAAATGGAGATGTGATTAGAGTTCCTGCAGGAGCCACTTTTTACTTAATTAACAATAACAATGATGAACCACTTCATATCGCAAAGCTCATCCACTCTGTTAGCAGCCCTTGACGATTTGAGGTAACTAGAATCATCACTTCATTTCATCAATATTAGCTTTGTGATTTTTTACTTTTAATACACAAACCCAATTAAATTTTCACACAGAAACTTGAATTTAGTTTTAGTTTTAATATTTGGGGCTGGTAATCTATATCTTTGCTTTAACTTTATGCAGGAATTGTTCCTTGCTGGTTCTGAAAATCCAGAGTTTCAGCGTTTTTCATCTGTGACATTCTTGAATCTACTTTCAATGTAAGTTACAAACTTTTGTTCTTTTCCTTTTACTTGATTTAATTTGTTCGCATAAATTTGATTAAGCTCTAATTTACAACTACTAATTATTTGTTCAGACCCCAAGAAAAGAGCTAAAGCATGGGTTTAGACAAAAAAGGTTATTAATCTTTCACAACATAATTTTTTGTTTCTTTCAAATATAATTTTTCGTACAATTTTCAATCCTGCATGAACGAGCAGACACAAATTCCTCTCTACAAACTATACCAACACAACTTTTCACGCTAAAAATTATATGCAAATGACTTCCGAAAATAAAAACATTATATACAATTATTATGTACAAATTACACAGGCAGCCGAGATATCGATTCTTTAGAACTCTCCGCCTTGACATGAAGACAATCCAACGGCATTTTAACAGACATTAACGGCGTCTTCCCAGACACCGCATTTCCGTCACCTCCTCTAGGTAAAAACGACGGCGACATCATCCACGGGTCGACCCAACCGGTTTGATTATCCACGCTGCTTTTCCCTTCACAGCGGCCACACCTATAGCCCTTCCTCGAACTCCCGAGGCCGCAGCGCAAAAGGACGTCGTAGCTAGTCGAACGCCTCAGCTTACTGTTCCCGCTCGACACCAGCTGCTTCCTCACCTCCTCCGGCAGTCTCAACGTGTACCTCTCCGTGTTCAATCCGGGTCGGCTCAGCGAGTGACCCGTCGAGTGCGATCTCGGAAACTTTCCACATATTCCGGATCTCGTTCGTGGTTTACCATTCTCAACCGCTTGTGGGCCCTCGCTTGGATTTTCATCCACATTGAGCACAACGGCGTCGTTTCGTACCTCGCCGACTTCAATCGGACTCCTGGAACTCGAATCTTCGACATTTAAATCGGTGTTTCGCGTGAGGTTGGAGCGGCAAACCGGACACGTCACGTGAGCCGCTAACCAGGGGTCGATGCAATCTGGATGGAAGACGTGATCGCATTTGGGAAGCAAACGCAGCGTTTCGAAGTCGTCGAACTCGCTCAAGCACACGGCGCACTCCAGAGCTCCCTTGCCAATCTTGAGATCCTTGACGGCGGAGTAGACGAGGATCGGGAAAGTCTCCATCACCGCCGGGTCCAGTCCTCGCCGGCGGAAACCTACGGAGGCGGCGCGAGCTCGAGTTCCGGAGGCTTCCATGCGTGTGGACTCGATGCAGCGGCGAAAGTAGACGGAGAGGAAGCCCACGGAGAAGAAGGCAAAGACGAGGAAGACACTGACGAGCGCCATTGAAGAGTTCAAATTGGCGATGTAGCCATAGCCGTTGTTCTGAAACTCGGGGGTCTGGGCATTGGCCGGCATAGGATAGGCGAGCAAGAAGAGGAAGAGGAGATTGAAGCTCGTCGTTTTCGTATCTGGCATTTCGGCAAGCAGTTGGTGGGCACAGCCGCTTCTGTGAGTAGCAGCTACTGAAGTTTGTTCATATTATTATTACTTAAGCGGGAGGAAGGAAGGAAGTAGTATGATCGGACGGTGGAGGAGAGCGAAAGTGATGGGATGCGAGGAAGGGATAAGAAGAAGAAGAAGAAGATTATCTGAAAATTTGGGTAAAAAAAATTGACAAAAATGGAAAACCGATGGGCGCAGATGGATAACATAAGCTTAGTGATAGCGTGGGAGTGAGGAGATCAGCAAAAACCGAAACTGAATGAAAGACAAAAACCTCTCCGTCACTGTCCTCCTTTACAAATTTTTAGTAGGGACGGGAACACACGTAGTACATTACGTATTTTAATAGGAATGATAAAAGTTTTTATTTTTTAAATTATTAACATTTTAACACATATATTACATCATTTTTTTAGTGACACATAATATACCATCCCGTATACCGATCATATTGAAAAATCTATCGTGCTCCCCATGTCATTCATCATCCAGTTTTGTTTTGGTTTATGTTATCTGGTTTTCAGCTTTACCACAAGCGAGTACAAGAATCCGGCCCACAGCGTTAGAATTTTATATTATTCCCCGGTATTCAAATTTTTACGGTTTGGAATATACAGTTAGTTTTTGTTTTTTTATATTTAACATAAAAAATACTCAAAATATCCCATATTTTCAAGTACCATGCGAAGTCTCTTTCAATTTTATTTCGACTTGGTGTGTACAAGTATCCACAGGCCACCTAATCAATGATCACTAATCACTAATCACTAATCAGTCCAATTTGGTCCTTTCAGTTTCTATCTTAGAAAGTTTCGAATTAATTCTAGAGCTACTTCATTGTCAATAGGTTAACCTACGTGACTTACCCTTAATTTTCTTTTAGGGCATCTCTGATAGCAGGAGCAAGTTTCTTTCGAATGAAAACTTTATATTTCTTATTGGCCGGAGAATTTTTCCAATCATTGGAGATTTTATAAGATAACTCTCTAATAGAAGGGCTGTATAATACTCATCTATCTTGGTTTGAAAATAAAAGTTAACATCTTTAAGAGGTGGGTCCAGCTAGTTGAAGAAAAAAAAGGTAAATGAACTCTCTCATCTCTTCTATTATTGGTATATCTCTCATGACACTAAAAACTGCACAGCCTACGTGGCACGCGAGCTGAATACAAAAAGTTAACTGTGTCATATGTGTCATATGTGTCATTGAATATTGATGCGGGCTTGCAATTTGCCACTGAGCTTGGCTACGCAATACCTCTGATTGAGGTGGTATGATGAAATACACTTTTGACTCGATCTCGGCCGAGGAAGGAACACCTTGGTCTGGGTTCTAAAATCTAAAGAGAAGGCTATGCAAATCATTGTGAAGTCCTAAATCTTTTACACCAGGTTCAGCAGCCTCAACTATATTGGTGAAAATATAGTTATGCCGATAAGTAACAAACTGTAAAGGCAAATATACTAAAAAAGATAAGTGTCTTTATGGTAAAAGTGGTTTGACCTTCTGAATGTCAAACTCTGAATATAACTTGGGAATATGCGATCATAGAACACTTCACTTCACCGAAAAAGCTAATGAAGTGCCTGGTTCGACAATGGAATCAAAGACTCCTTGCATGGCAAGGACTTCAGATAAATAAGATTGTGACCTTCGCTGATTGCAACCCAAACTTATCTAACCAGACAGTCACCTTCGCTGCACCTTCGCTGGTTGCCAACCAAATATGTTAACCAAATGGTTTTTGCATTGACTGTTAGTAAAGCAATTAGTATTTTTTTTTCTTCACAGAGGATTGTGAAAAGTTTTGCATAGATCTTTTCTACGTCTCAAACCCCTTTATATTTATAAGAACAAATTCCTTAATGCCCAAGCATGTTGAGTGATAGAATCCTACCAAGATTGCAACTCCTCAGCACGCATATGAAATGAAGGGAAATAATGAGATTTATGTAGGATTTCTAGTGACTAGCATGCATATGCAATTCTAAATTTATATACATAAGCAACGGAATCATATTATCACATATTATCAAAGTTATAGTCATGCAAATCCCCTTCTAGGAGCATAGGTTCACATATGATGCATCAAACAAAATTGAAGAACAAAGTGAAGGTTGAGTTTTATACCTCTTGATCTAGACTTTAGACCAAGGATGGACCACCTCCAAGCTCTTTGTTCTTGGTAGTCCTTGAGTCTAGCCTCCCTCCTTGCTTCCTCCACCTTGATAGATTTCGAACTCTTTTGATTCTTCTTTAGCCTCCAAGGTAGAAGACCTCTAAAGATCCACACCCACTAGTGTAGTGAGATGGATGTTGGAATAACCAAAAGGGAGAAAAATGATTAGTTAATTTTCCCTTTTGGTGGCCGGCCTTGAATGTGTAAAGAGAGAGAGAAACTTGTTTTCTCTTTTGTTGAAAAGTACACACAAAAACCTTAATGAAACCTTTTCATTAAACTTCCTTTATAAATGTCAAAGAAGTGAGTCAACAAATTGACTTCTTCTCTCTCTCCTTTCTTTAGTAATGGCCGGCCCCTTAGTGTGGGTTTGGATTTTGGGCTTTTATCATCTCAAGTCATTCTATGCTTGAATAAAATGACCCAATGGGCCCGAATGAACCCAAACTTTTCTTTAAGTCCTAAACGATCTTTCATCGTTTCTATGACTTCTTTAGACTTTCTAATTAATCATAACACTTAATTAATCTAATTAATTAATTCCATCATCCTTTAGTTGTCTCACCACAAGAGTGTATCGGTGTACAATCATTTTAGGTTCTAATTAGCAAGGCAGTGAAGTGATTGGCACCAATCCAATTGATTAGTATTAATCCAATCACTTAGTGAATTAAAAGTTACTTTTAATTCTCCTTCTTCTTTGATGACTACTTATTTAATCATCTAGAAAAACTCACAAGCCATGAGTGACATCTAATCATATATCATGGCTACCCAAACTAATGTAGAATTTGTTCGGATAACCTATTCAGTTGGAATTACAATGTAATTCAATCCTTCTCTAATACAATACTCACAATCACATTACTAGGGTATGGATACTTAATGTCAAACCCCTAATGTGATTATACCATGTTATATGATTCTATTGAGTCGTATAGGAACACCTTCCATCATTACGCTCGATACTTTGGCTGAAGATTCCCGAATCATACCTAAGAGTATTCTTCCTCTCATAATGAGGATTAGAGATCCCTTGTTGATCATTCACATGCTTCTGAGAATAAATCACCGACCCCAACAATGTATAGAACACATCTAAGATGAGATGTGCTCACATCTCATTATCAAATGATCAACAACGTATCCCCAAGACAAATATGATGTCTCAAGTCAAATGATTACTTACATTATTCCAACCAATAGAGTTGCCTGCTTGACATGTGAGTAGACCTCCATGCAAGTACTCTCGTTTGATTGTGTTCAATGAACTCATTCCCTTAATGAGCACCTACATACTTGTCTTAATGTCACTACACGAATGGCATGAGACTTTCCATCCTTCCATTTGAAGGGGACATAGTATGCACTGGTCTATGTATTGTCGGTATCCCTCTGACAATCCTATGACCAGGAACCTTTTGGACATTACGGTTATGTGAAAAAGGTCTTTGCAGTCTAACATCATTAGATTACTTCTTCAATCAATACATTGTCCATGGATTCACTATTTAGGACGTATATCGTTTATTAAGATAGTCCTAATGAGTGACTTTGCCTTTTGCTATATTAGAGTCATCTATACATACAAACATTGTCCTGAAATGTTTCTTCCAAAGATTGACTTTCAGGGCATATCTCCAACATGAAAATACTTGAAGTTATCTTGATAGTCCCTTCTTGGGCCGAAGCTCTGTCACCATTGGATCTTGGCCTCTTCATTATGTACTAGGACTTTGAACCTAGTCACTTTATGCACACGATTCATTCTTTATGCAACGATGATTTTTATCCTCAAATAACTTAGGGCTCGTTTGGATGTGTTTTTAAAATAACTGAAAGCGATTTTAGATAAAATGTTTTTGGATTCCAAAAGCACTTGAAGTACTTTCTGCAAGACGCACCAGTTATGTGCTTCTTCTAGGAAGCACTTTAAGTGCTTTTCTAGGATTTACTTGCATTTTTACAAAGGATGAGTTCTAAAAATATTTTTACCAAAAGCGCTTTCGATCATTTTAAAAGCACATCCAAACGAGCTCTTAATCTAAATTTTATCAAAAACTCATCCTGATCCTTCAACAAAACTATTTTGTTTAGGACTTGAGTGAATCACAACCTAATTTTGATCCTTAAACAATCCCAGATCTCTTAGGACTCAATCGAGCCATCAATATTTCACCATTAGGCCGAGCCTTGCACACTAGTCATCATATTCACCATAAGGCTGAGAGTCGCATTCTTACCACTGGCTTACTCTTTCTCGGCCTAAAGTTGAGATTTCAGGCCCAAACAATCACAAATTTCCAGCTTCTTCTTGAAAAACACCATATAATATGAATAATGCTAGGCACACCAAACTTTTGCACCAAATGATGTGTCACCAATAAAATGTTTACTTTAATTCAAGTTGGAATTTGATTAAGAATTAATACTAGGCACACCAAATTTTTGCACTAAATGATGTGGCACAAATAATTTTTGTAGATGAAATGAGAGTGAATTTTGTTATAATATTAAGTGTTGGAACCAAATTCGCCGACCACCATGAAAGGTAGGGATGCTTAAACTTGTTTACCTGTAAAAGAACACAGAATTGTGAGTAAGCCAAAAATTGAGGGTGTGCTGGTCAAACGCTCTTCATCAGTCAAGTTAGTAAGCAATATTAAGACTCAAGTAGTAGTCCAAATAATAACTATGCAAGAATTGCGTTACCAGATATGAACCCTAGAATGATGTATTTATACTAGACGAGGAGTTGACCTTTTAAGATAATAGAATCCTTATTAAACCTAGAGAGTCCCACATGATATCTAGTAAGTAGATATTGCATTATTTTAAGAGTGTCATCACTTGCAGCACACACCAATCTTAAGATTGTAAGGACTCCAAGGTTATAGGAAACCTACTAATTTCAATGAAGTAGTCGGACTTTGCCCATTGATTCTAGAGCATGATGATGGTTTAGTGTCCATTTTCATCTGCCCAGCCTCAAGAGGAAGAATCTAGTTCATAAGGAGATAAGTGAATATTGTGATTTTATCATATGAGAGATAGGTGCAGTTTGGGATTCTATCTAC